TTTTTTTGTGGGAAATTAATCATTTAAATTAATCAATAAATTAGTCGATAGATTCATCGAAATAAAAATAGTCGTTAGTGGCGGCCCTAATCGTACCGTGATGAACTATCCGATTTGCACACCTAGTACAAATGGAGATGGCTGCGCATTTATTTGTGCTATCCTAGTATATGTGTATATTTCAATAATGTACTACGAGGGAGCATGTATAACCATGCAATATTTTTCATTTTGTTGCGTTAAACTGTAAACGTTTTTTTTCCATTCCATTGCACTACATTGTTTTTCTATGTAAACATGCACTTGATGGACGTGTTTGACCATTAAGCTTGTTTTGCTACGCTGTGTTTATTTGTTTATGCTCTTAAAGCTGCTTAGCCAAGCATACTTGTGGTGTTGCCATGTCCACTTTAATATGCATCTTTGGGCTTATTTGTTCCAAACCAGGGAGCAGGGCAATGTGTCTCCAGGAGAATGGAGACTTTACCCCCAAACATTTCAGATGATTTGGGAGATCTTTAGAAAGGCAGAGGTAGACCTTCGCTTCAGAACACCACTGTCATTGCCCAAAATTTTTTCCAAGGAACAGGACATGCTGGCTGGCCCGTGAATGGCCCAAAGCCACCTGTACACCTTTCCCCGGTTGCTCTGCTCCCTCTGGTCATCAGACGGATCAGGGAGACCGGATGCTCAGTTCTAATGGTGGCTTCACTCTGGTGTAAGCAGTCGTGGTTCCCCGACCGACGTTAGCCCTTCCTCCCTCTGAAAACAAGCAGGGAGCTAAATTACTTTGCCCGGTCCGGGCCCTCAAGATTTATATGGAGCGTTCTAGCCAGCTTTGGAGGCCCCCCCAAAGGGCTGCCAGTTACGAAGCAGAGATTATCCCACTGGATAGTGGATGCAATATCCCTGGCTTGCCCCTCAGTGGGCTCTGAGTGCCCCATTGGAGTGAGGGCCCACTCCACTAGGGGGATGGCCTCCTCCTGGGCTTGGTCCAGCGGAGTTTCTATTGGGGATATTTGCAAGCCAGCCGGCTGGTCATCGCCATCTACCTTTGGTAGGTTTTATAACCCTGTCCTTCAGGAACAAATCTTGTCCATCTAATTGTCTTGCACCCCTGGTAAGTGGTCTAGACTGTTTTGAATGTGTGCTTCGGCCGATGGCCCGGGCCTCACTAGTTAGCCTGTTTTTCTTAGGGCCCTCAGAGCGGTTCCCTAGAGCTGGGCTCGCAGAACAGCTTCCATTCTGACCTTATAGCCCAGTGCTATGGTAAATCGTTCCCCCAAGTGCCATAAACGCAAGGTGAGAGACCATTTCGATAGGGAACACAATAGGGTTACTAACGTAACCTTGGTTCCCAATGATAAAGGTTACGTTAATAACCAGAGCGATTCACTGGGCAGTGTGTAGTTTATTGACTACAGACTTCAGTCAGCATAGTGCCATATTTAATTTTAGACAGGAATGAAAATGAGGCTGTGAGGGACAGAAGAACTGCGTGTTCAATGGATTGTACTGTTGTTTAACAACATAGCAATTGTTCAGCAGGTGCAAGGTGAAACAAAAATAAAAAAAAGCTTTCAGTAAATAAAAAAACTCCATAAAAAATTTTGAAATTACATAGTTTTATATAGTGCGTGCCATTGTAAAGACTGTAAGTCTATCCCTCAAAGCATCATTTTCATCATGTTAAATTCAATAGGGCATATAAACTGACTAAGGCTATTGCAGTTTTTGCGCAAGTTATGCTGTAAAGTAGGCCTGATTATTCAGCTTTTGCAATTTAAAATAGTTATACAAATTCTATACATTTTCATATACACAGAGCTGCTTTATTGCAGAAAATCAAGTTGTAACTGAAAGCGACACCGACAGTTTTTTCCATGTTTAATACTGTAAAGCTGACATGAGTTGACTTTACTAGAGTGCCGATTGCAAAGCTGGTGATATCCACATCGCTATCATCAGATTGCTTTCTTAACTGCTGTTTTCCCACAGCATCATGTTTGTTGTGTGTTTGTTTTGTTATTGAGAGGAAAGCACACAGCACATATTTACACATTCATCTAAGAACCGCTTTCAGCAGTTCAGGCTGCATTGGGATGTTCGCTAACCCCTAACCGAAGAACGAAAAAGAACTTTGCAGTGAGTATATTGGGGCCTTTGCACATGACAGCATTTTTAATTGTAGTTTGGTCCGGCTTCGTTTGCACTTCTTACATGTCTCCTTCTGTTGGATTGTAGCAAAGAGCGTGGAATACACTAGTCAAACCACATTACTGCAGGACCTTACATTAGGTCATATGAGATCAAATGACTATTCGTCAACAAAAATAAAAAATTGTCGCCGTTGTCGATAATGTTGACTAATTGTTTCAGCCTTGCTGTAAAGGTACCATTTTTTGCTCGCTTTCTGTATATAATCCATTCACAATTTGGACGTGAACCAATGTCTACGTATACTGCTAAGTTTGAGGAGTGACAAACACTGACAGTGATATTTTTCATGTTATCTCTATGAATGAAAATGAAAAATGTAGATGTTCAAGATTCGTAAATAAATGACGTTCTATTTATTTTTTGGGTGAATCCATTTACGCCTACAGTAAGCAGAGACTATTAGTGCTTAAGTACACAGAGTTTCCCAAAGGCATCGTAAAAATATATAGAATTTTATTCAGTTTCTCAAACTAATTTACTAATTTACATGCAATAGTCTAAACTAATAAGCCTATTGCAGGACTTGCTGTGCTGCAGCACGTTTTAACACCAAGAATGAAAGCATCACATGTTGCCATTGAGACTATGAAGGAACACCTGGATGCTGTCTATGACATAACTGTTGCATATGAGGGAACACTCACAGCAGATGGCCAGAGACATCCAGCTCCTACAATGCCAGGTATGTTGTTATTGCTATACATTCAGTTTCTAAGCAGCATGTTTACTTCTCTCAACTAAAACAGGAAAGAAGGCAGACACACAGTGTTAAACCATTAATTGAGGACTAAAAATACAGATATGTGAATTTCCTGTTACTTCCTGTAAACAGTGATTGTTACAATGTGTTATTTTCCATTTGTTCCCAAAAACACTAAAGCAGTAAGAGGTTTCATAAACAGTAGCAACATTTAGGTAGCTGTTAGGATATTGTCACATCCTTCTTTATAAAAAATTTAAAAAACTGGTAAGCAATAGGTCTGTTGCGATATCAAAGTTTCAGTCATGCGTCACATTTCGGTCCAAGTGCTCTGTCAGATTCCACAAGCAAACAGCAAACGGTGCTTATATACAGTACACACACGGTGTGCTGTAATACTACTTAAAAATCATGATCCTGACCTTTATCTCCATAATGAAATCGGATTTGACCAGAGAGTGAGAAGGTATGCTATAAAAGAATGGTGATCATAAATTGCTATTGAAACATTGTAGAGACTTGAACCCAGAAAGAGTATTCATTACATAATGACTTGGCTAGCGGAGATTAGTAAAGGCTTATATGATATTGTTCATAATCCTTTAAAAAAAAAAAAAAAAGGAGGATTAATGTAAATCTATTTATTATTCA